GGGGAAAATTCAAGCCTCAGCGACTGGGTGGGTTAGGCATATTTTTAGTCAGAGTTAAGTGCAGGCGTCCCCCTTGGAGAAATTATGAAATCATAACTCAAAAGCCAAAACCCGTCTTATTCAAGGCCTGTTTATGTTTATATGTATACACTTGTCAATGATTGCTTATCTTTCTTTGTAGCCAGTATTCAATGAAGACTCAGAAGTGATAGAGCTTCATTTATAGATTTTTCCACTTAGAATTTTGCTGCATCCTTCAATATCGTTAATAAATCCCATTCCTTGTCCTCAGTCCCACTGCACAAAATTTACATTAGAGAAAAATAGTGCTTGCTTCAGCAGCCCATATACTACAAATAGAGAAAAGCAATTCATTATTACAAACTTCAAATAAGCCCCAGAAGGCAGACTCTCCTTGGGACTCAAGAGCAAATAAGACCTCGGGGATTCATTAAAAGTTGACTTTTCTCTAAGAACCTTTGAGGTTTCTTGTCTGGATGATGCAACTTCAGGGAAAGTTCCTCTAAGTTGATGTCACTTCGGAGACGGTTGCCATGGAAGCATCATTTCCAATGCATTTCAAAGCTGTTAGAGCAACCCCCTTTTTTGTGTTTTTTCAAATTTTATTTTTACTCTTTATTGAGGTAAAATTCACATATCATGAAATTTGAGGTAAACTTCACGTATCATAAAATTATCACCATGTTAAGGTGTACATCCTGTGGGTTTTAGTACATTCACAATGCTATGCAACCATTAGCACTAAATCCAGAACATTACATTGTCTCAAAAAGAAACCGCATATCCATAAGCAGTCACTCCCTGTTCCGCTTACCCTCAGCCCCTGGCAACTGCTAATGAGCTTTCTGTCTCTACTGATTTGCCACTTCTGGTCATTGCATATAAATGGAATCACACAACATGCAGCCTTTTGTGTCTGCGTTCTTTCGCTCAACATAAAGTTTTCAAGGTTTGTTCATGTTGTAGTATGTATCAGTACATCTTTTCTAAGAGATGAGTAATATTCCATTGTATGGATATGCTATACATTTTATTTATCCATACATCAGTTGATGGCCATTTAGGTTGTTTCCACGTGGGGGCTATTATAAATAACGCTGCCTGCAGGTCAGCCAGAGGTGAGAGCTTAGGGTCTTCTCAGGTCTTTTCTGAGCGTGTGCCCAGCCCTAGCCATGTGTGTGGTCTTCTAGGGTCTCAGGAATCTGTGGGATCTTTTCAAAGTTATTTCCAAAAACATCACATTCCCTAGCCTTCCCTCCCAAGATTTTTGGTTAACCTATTGTTTTCGCTAACTGCCCCAGGTGGTAGTGACTCAATACATTTGCGTTTAAACATTTTCCACAAATGGCCTCCTCCCTCCATGGCCCCATCAGCCCTGGGAGAGGTCCAGGTTAGGGGAAATAGAGGGAAGCCCTTTGATGGTCTTTCAGAGAGCCGTAGATGGGTCAAAACAAACCACCACAATTTTTGAAAAATAAAATCTGTCATGCTCCCTCCAGAACTGGTACTTATACCAAGGATACAGGCTGTTGTCTTCAAGGCCAGCACTGAGCTGGGAGCAGAAGATGTATCCAGGATAAGTTAAAATGCCACAAAGCTCTCTTATCAAGACTTAGGGGTTTTTTCTTGATTATGTTCCCCTGGTTGCTACAAGTATTCGGTTAATATCCAGAGTTCCAAGAAAGTTGGTTTTGAAAGTTTTTGCCAGTTTACTCCTTGCATTTGTGGATGAAAGGCCTTTGGAAGTTCCCTACTCTACCATTTTGCCCGACATCACTCTAGACTCACCCCCTTTCATATCTCATATGTCCCAGTGGAGTGACAAATTATATGGCCCTGCCCAGCACTGGGAAAATAAACCTTGGAATCAGTCTGATCTCAGTACCAATCCTGGCTTTGCCACTTCCTAGGTGGATGACAGTGGGTAAATCTGTTTAACCTCTTTCTGAACTTCAAATCTCTTATATTAAAGTGGGAATAATAAACACAACTCAAGAGTTGTAATTATGACTGAAGGGTATCATTTCTGGCACCATAATTTAAGGTATCAAGCTTATAATGCAATGTGGATTTCCCTATCTTAACCACAGCAATCTGAAGCCTAAAGAAGCATGGTTGGGCAGGTATTGTTAGAAAGTATGTGTGCAGTGGGAGGGGAATTATATGGAACTGAGTATTTTAAAAAGCAACCCAGCAAAGCAAGTTGTAAACAGTATGTATAGTATGATCCCATTTCAGAAAGAAAAAGGCATATGTATCCAGACAAAATATCCGGAAGGAGAGACATTAAGTAGTTAAAAACATAGAGGAGATATGGTGTTTTTAATTTCTCATTTTTCCTTACCTACTTATATTTTCTCATTTGCTTCATACACATACATTGCTTTTGAAATCTTAAAAAAATGCTTATGAAATACAGTGATAAGATCTCGTTTATCCCCCAGAAATTCAGTAAACCTATTTTACTTAAAAAAATAATAAAGTCCTATACGAAAGTAAGTTATAGCAAAACAGCATGTTATAGAAAGGACAGGATGGGCTGGCGTCAGAAGTCCTGGGTTCTAGGTCATGCCCAGGTCTGCCCCTTGCTAGCTCTGTGACCTTAGGTAACTTGAGTGAGTTCTTGAGCTTCAGTTTCCTAGAAGAGGAAAACAATAATGCAGCATTCCTCTTTTTCCCCTATGCTGTGCTGATGGTAAGCCATCACTAGTAAAGCATATGCCTGAGAGACACAGGCTACAGATTTAAAGGGCTACAAACTAGAGCAGTGATTCTCAAATGTTAACGTACGTTGGAATCACCCAGAAAAGCTGTTAAGACTCAGAGTGCTTGGCCGTCTCTCCCGAGTTCTCAGGAGGTCTGGGGTGGGGCTCAAGGATTTATATTGTAAGTTCCCAGGCAGTGCTTCTGATGCTGACCTGGGGACCACATGTTGGGAACCACTGAACAAGAGGCAAGGATGCAAACACATTCTTCAGGTTCAAGTTCCAAGTCACCTCTCCCAGACTTTCAACAAATCTCTTCATCTGTCTGCACATGAGTTCCTTCACCAAAAGAAAAGCGTATTACAATTCCTGCTAATAAATACCATCTGCCCCTAAGATTTTTATGAGGATTAAAAGATTTAAACTTGTGAAAAGAATGCATAAACTCTACTGAATTATGCAAATAGCATTAATTATATAAGTTAGGCAACTAACGTAGCTAGAATTTAAATTATCTTTATTTTAAGAAATACATCTCAGACACAGAGATGTCTGTCAGTTTAGATTCCCAACAGTAGAGAGCCACACTTCTGGAAAGCATGTTTGAAACTTGAATCCTTCGCCACTGTGGATGGAAATAATGGTGCCTTGGTTAAGTACCATGACGTGAACATGTAAATAGTAAGAATAATAAATACAAGAGTTACAATTTGTTGAATACTTACTATTTACCAGGTACTGTAGTAATTTAAACCTCACAATCCTATGAAGTGACTGCTGTAATAATTCCCAATTTGTAGCTGAAAAAAGCTTAGGCTTCAAATGGCCAAATCATTTGCTCCAGGGTCACACAGCAAAGATCAGAAGCAGGGTTTCTAGCACTCACTTCGGCAGCACACGTACTGAAACTGGAACGACACAGAGAAGATGAGCGTGGCCCCCGTGCAAGGATGACATGCACATTCATGAAGTGTTCCATATTTTGGGGGGAGTTCGAGATTTGCAGATACTAACTAATATATAGAGAATAGATAACCAGTAAGTTCCTGCTGTGTGGCGCAGGGAATTAGATTCAGTATCTTGTGGTAGCTTGTGGTGAAGAATATGTGAAGAACACACACATATTAAAGTGAATATGTGTGTGTTCATGTATGGCTGGAGCTTTCTGCTGTGCACCAGACATTGACACAACACCGCAAACTGACTATACTTCAATAAAATGTATATACAAAAAAAAAGAAGCAGGGTTTCTAAATACTGTGCTTACACTGCTATTTGTTGATTTGTCTAATTTAGACATTATTCATTGATTCAGGGCCTGGAATAGTAGCTAACTCATAATAGCTATTCCATCACTGTTTGCTCGGGGAATTACTGGCAATTCGATCTGATTGGGATTGAGTTCTCTTACATTCCCCCACGCCGAGGTCTCCTCTCCTACCCTCCCAGTATGAGTACATCACAGTTTTCATTTCTCCACACTTAGTGTTTACTGTAGTAAGATGACATTTCCTGACTTGCTCCATTTTATTCTTCCCCAGAGTAAATACTGTCCCCATGGTTTTCTATGTGTCTCTTCTTAATATTTCCACACCTTCCCATTTCAGGGGTAGAATATGAGATGAGAAGAGGAAGTCAAGGACAGACAGACTTCTTGGGATCCCAACCCAAAGGGCACAGAGCATCTGGCTCCCCGGACACTTACATCATTCTCTTTTGATCTGTGTGTGTCGTAGTCTATTTCTAGTTCCACCTACTTCTGACCTGACCTAACCCGAATTTTCCTGAGCTCCTCTGAGCACAAGAGGAGCAAGAGATCTCATCTTTTTTTCTTAGTTCCCTCATTTTACTCAAAATAAACTACATTCCAAGCCTAATTTGACCAACTTTTTAAGCTACAAAATTATTCTGATTCCCCAACTTTTCAAGCTATAAAACTCTCAGCTGCTATAATCTGATCTTTCTTTAGTAGAATAATGCCTTCAGTGTAGAGTCAGAGATGCTGGCTTTTCAGCAACCACAGGACTTAAGCCCAATTACCAATTTGTTGGATTCAATTTCATATGCAAAGCAAACCTAGTTATTGGCATAAATACACAAAGTGCTATTCCTATTTCTTTTCATCTTTTATTTTCAACACGTACACCCACAGAAAACTGTATACAGTTCTTCACAAATACATAACTGTGATAACATGCATGTTTTTGTCAGTGTGTATAATTCCTTGTTCTTTATTCTTTTCCTCCTTTTTGGCTACCTCGGGCCCATGCTACAGACGGCCACATGCAGGCACCTAAAACACAGTTTCTTCATGGTCTTCTTTTACATCTGTGTGCGTTAAAATTCAATTAGTCCATTAGTCCATTCATACTGATACGCATGGCCTGTCAGGGTGTAGACTGTATTCCCGTTTGGGATGGTTTCTCAGGCAGCGCCCCGTGGTGCTCTTGCCCCAACCACTGCCCTCTGATTTAGCTGGTAACTAACCTCCCCAAAGCAGGAAGATACCTGCTGAGTTACATCACAGAGCTTCAAGTCCAGGGAAAAACTAAGGTCAGTTTCCAGATGCCTAGTGACAATTCACATTTCTATAGCGACTGAGCATTTGGAAAATTATTTCCATGTGCATTATACCGTTTTGTGCTTACAAGACAACTTAGGAGTTGATATTTTTGCTTCTCATTCCGTAGATAAGGACATGACTTGTCATTCAGTAAGTGGTGTAACCACACCACGCTGGACTGCCCGGATCTGGGATAATGTCAGCTTCACATGATCGTGTTCTAGTGGATATTTTGGAATTGGCTATAGGATACGGGAGATTAAATTTCTGAAGCAAAATTCATGTCCACAGCCAAGAAATAAAACAGAGATTTTTATCTCTAAATATATGAAGAAGTTGTAGGCAGTAAAAACTCCAGACTTTGCCTGTTTCCTCTAACCACGCTGGTCTCTGAAACAGCGCCCACCTGGTCTGACTTCTAACAAACAGGCAGTGGTGAGATGAGCAGAACACAGGAAGCAGTTCAGTGTGGGGTGATGTGCTACCGGCCTTATCACAGGCCTCCCACCTGGAAGAGAATGGCTGCAGGAAGTCACCCTGCAGCGACAGATTTCATTCCCAGGGAGTCAAGCAGGCAGCCAGGGCTCCAGCTCCCCGTCTTCCAGGGACCAGGGAAGTCGGTCTTGAGATTGCTCTAACGTTTCTCAATTCTCAGCTTCACACTCCCCTGTACTACTTTCATCAGAAAGTCATCATTTGTGGATCTCTGCTCTATCATTACCCCTAAATGCTGATGAACTTCATATCAGAGAAGATGATCATCTCTGAGGACAGCTTGTCCCAGCTCTACTTCTTGCTTGCATTTGTCATTGCTGAGGGTTGCATGTGGACCCATGAAATATTAAACATCATGCAGCCTCCAGAAAGTTTACATTCGTGCAAGAATGAGAGTTAAAGACCAAATAGTGCTCAATATTAGTGTGAAAAGAGTTTTGACCTTGCAGACCCACTAAAAGGGCTTCAGGGACTCTCAGGGATTCCTGGACCACATTTTGAGAACCCCCGCTTAACGTCTGACAGACAAAGAAAAAGTTTTAAGTTGGATGGTGCTAACTGTTGGTGACGATGTGGGAGTATGGGAACCTTTGTGCATCACAGCCATTCTGGAAGCAACACGATACTCTGTAAGACCAGTTAAATATATGCTGCCCTGTGATCTAGAAATTCTAGTCCTTGATTTACACCCCAATCGGATTCTTTTGTAGGGCCCTAAGGGGAAATGTGCATTCTTTGTGGTACAAGGACTACAGGCAAAATGAATGCTTATCAACAGGCAAGCAAGTAGATAAAATGAAATATTTTGCAGCAATAGAAACGTGATCTGTGTACAGGGCAACATGGATGAACTTTCGAAGCACAATGCTAAGTTAAAAAAAGGTAAAAAGCAATAAGACATAAGACATACTTAGGTATATTAAAATTATAATGCACAGACTTATGGGCAAAGTGCAGCATGTCATAGCAGGCAAATTCTCCTGCAACAGCAAATAGAAAAGGTTGTACTTGTTACAGAAACGATGTTTTGTAGCTGTCAGGAATTTGTGGAAGAAATGGAGACAAAGTGAATTACAATTCCACAGAAGAGAGAACCATTTGAGGGGCAAGAAGACAATCTCCAGGAATTTTTCCCCTGGAGGAATTTTTTGCTTCTGGTCGCCAACTCACTGTTGGTCTCGGTCCAGGTGGAGGGCCTCCACAAGGGTGGAGTGACAACTGGAAATTTGAGAGACTTCAAATGCATGCCCAGTCTTCCCTCCAGGACAGTTACTGAGTGCTGGGGCTGTGTGGACTAGACTAAAACTTCCAAACTGTAAAGTGAAATCTCCTACACTGTGTGGTAATTAGGAAACGAATACACTGCAAAGGGAGGGGTCCTGCATTAAAGTCACTGACAGACTCAATGAACAAGTCTCCCCTTCAAAGCGTGTGCCAGATTGAGAAGCTAAATGCAGCGAAAGGCTAATGCGCTAAACTGAAATCCTCTGAAGAGGATAAGAGAACCTTTCACAGGCTTTCAGAGCTTAAGAGGCAAAGACCCAACAGACTCAGTCAAAATCCTGGCAGGATCAGGCTCTAGGAATAGGAAAAACTAAATGTAGATTGACTCTTACTAAAACTCCAGCGCAGACCTAACTCAGGTCAGACCCTGACTGCATTCAGTGGTCACTCCTCACCCTATGCACCTAAGAAAAGAAAGAAAAACCATCTTTGCTGAAAGACAGCATCCTCTGGAGCATCTCTGGTTCTTATGGTCCTTTATCTACAGTGTTCAGCAATGCAAAATTACAAACGGTGATTTTTGCAAAAAGTAGACTGGAGAAGCAGATATCTATCTACAGATCACCCCAGCTCTGGAGTTAGCAGGAAGGATTTTAAAATAACTGATTAATATGCTCAAGAAAATAGAAGATGGATGAGTTAGATGAAAGTATGTAGATTTCTCACCAGAAAACGAGGATCTGTAAAAAAGAATAAAGTGGAATTTTCTGGAGTGATGACAGCATCCTAACCTTGATGAGGTGTGGATTACGCAGGTGTGTGCATTTGTCAAAATCTGTGTATGCACACTTAAGCTCTGTGCATTTCACTGTACATAAATTTTGCCTGAAAAGAAACAAACTTTTAAGCAGATATTGAAGTATAGTTAGTGATCTGCATCTTGAAGTATTTAGGGAGAAGTACATCAATATTTACAACCGACTTTGAAGTGTATCCAAGAAAAAGTTTAATGGTTTATGGGTGGATAGATAAATAGATATGTAACAAAGCAAGCCAAGCAGAATGCTAGTGACAGAATTAACTGTCATAGATATTCAATGGAAAAGTCTTTCAACTTTGCTGTATTTTTAAGTTTTTTCATAATACAGTAATATAACATAATGAGAGAATATTATGAATAATGGTATGCAAATAAACTTGACAGTTTGGGTGGAAAATGGACAATTTCCTCAAAAATTTAACTTATCTGATGTAGTAGTTTAAAATATTACACAAATTCTTTGGCACTTCCTTCAAAATGTGGAGCCCAATTCCTCTCTCTTTGAATATAGGCTGGATTTTGTGACTTAGTTCTATTTTTTTTTTAACTGAAGTATAGTCGATTTACAATGTTGCGTTAATTTCTGGTGTACAGCATGGTGATTCAGTTATACATACACATATATTCTTTTTCATTATAGACCATTACAAGGTATTGAATATAGTTCTCTGTGCTGTACAATACGACATTGTTGTTTATCTATTTTACGTACATTGGTTAGTATCTACAAATCCAAACTCCCAGTTTATCCCTCATCACCCTCTTCCTCCTGGTAACCATAAGTTTGTTTTCTGTCTGTGACTCTGTCTCTGTTTTGTAATTAAGTTCATTTGTGTCCTTTTTTTTTTAAGATTCCACATATAAGTAACATCATATGATATTTTTCTTTCTCTTTCTGGCTTACTTCACTTAAAATGACAATCTCCAGGTCCATCCATGTTGCTGCAAATTTCATTCTTTTTATGGCTAAGTAGTATTCCATTGTATATCTAAAAAATTAGGAGTTATAAAAATCAAGCTAGCAAACTGTTAAATAAAATATGTCCTATCTGCCTACCTTCAAACACACACACACACACACACACACACACACCCCATCATAATAACCAGGAATGCTAACTTAAATTTAGAATCCTTAGACTATCCAGGTCCCTTCTTGCCAACCCAGCTAAGTCCCACAGTGCAAGAAGACTCACAATTTGCATGT